TTTTTACTCTTTTGGTGAAGTCTTTTGATGAGCATAAGTGTTTGATTTTTAGGAGCTCCCAGTTATCTAATTTCTTTTCTGGTGCTTGTGCACTGTTACTTATGGTTCGTATTGTGTTTATGCCATGTATTAGGGCTCCTAATGTTGTCCCTATTTTTTCTTCCATGATCTTTATCATTTTTGATTTTATATTTAGGTCTTTGATCCGTTTTGAGTTAGTTTTTGTGCATGGTGTGAGGTATGGTCTTGTTTCATTTTTTGCAGATGGATATCCAGTTATGCCAGCAATATTTGTTAAAGAGACTGTCTTTTCCCCAATTAACAGATTTTGGGCCTTTGTCAAGTATCAGCCGCTCATAGGTGGATGAATTTATGTCTGGATTCTCAATTCTGTTCCATTGGTCTGTGTATCTGTTGTTGTACCAGTACCACGCTGTTTTGACTACCATGGCAGTATAATTGGTTCTAATACCAGGTAGTGTGAGGCCTCCCGCTTTGTTCTTCTTCAGTAACGTTTTACTTGTCCAGGGCCTCTTCCCTTTCCATATGAAGTTCATGATTTGTTTCTCCATCTCATTAAAAAATGCTGTTGGAATTTGGATTGGGATTGCATTGTATATGTAGATTGCTTTGGGTAGAATAGACATTTTCATAATGCTGAATCTTCCTATCCATGAGCAAGGTATGTTTTTCCACTTAATGCAGGTCTCTTTTGGTTTCTTGCAGTAGTATCTTATAGTTTTCTTTGTATAGGTCTTTCACATCTCTGGTTAGATTTATTCCTAAGTATTTTATCTTCTTGGGGGCTACTGTAAATGGTATTGATTTCGTGATTTCCTCTTCCAAGTTCTCTTTGTTGGTGTAGAGGAATCTAACTGATTGTTATATGTTTATCTTGTATCCTGATACTTTGCTGAAATCTATTAGTTCCAGTAGTTTTCTTGTGGATTCTTTGGGGTTTTCTGTGTATAAGATCAAATAGAGATACTTTTACTTATTCCTTACCAATTTGGATGCCCTTTATTTCTTTTTCTAGCCTAATTGCTCTGGCCAGGACCTCCAGCACAATGCTGAATAAGAGTAGTGGTAAAGGGCATCCCTGTCTCGTTCCCATTCTCAAGGGGTACGCTTTCAAACTCTGTCCATTTAGGATGGTGTTGGCTGTTAGCTTTGTATAAATGCCCTTTATTACGTTGAGGAATTTCCCTTCTATTCCTATTTTGCTGAGAGTTTTTATCATGAATGGGTGTTGGACTTTGTCAAATGCCTTTTCTGCATCAATTGATAAGATCATGTGGTTCTTTTGTTTTACTGATGTGATGGATTACATTGATTGTTTTTCTAATGTCGAACCACCCTGGAGCAGGGGTTCTTAACTCTTCATGTGCTGTGGACCCCTTCTCAGAACAATGTTTTTAAATGCATAAAACAAAACACATAGGTCTACAGGAAACAGCTATCAAAAAGTTAAATGTTTTCCTATCTCTGCATTCTACCCAAAGGCCTCTATGTTAAGAAGCCCTGCTGCAGAGGAAACTCACAACCAAATAAAGAATTCCCATGTCTTCTTCCTCAAATGAAATGTAGCTCATACAATCATAAATGATCCTCAACTGAAGAAACATTTGGAAGAGGTGTCCTAAAAACCAGAGAGCTACCTGGGAGTACTAAGGAGGGAAGAAGTTGCAGAAATAAAACCAAATCACCCAGAAATGGCAAGCTGCCACCTGGGCAGCTGGTATGTGTGATGGTCGCAGATGACAAAGAAAGGTGGATTCCTTAACTCCAGTTGTCTTCTGTTTTCTCAGATGAGGGGATGGCAGAGCCCAGTGAAGTCCTCTGAGGTAGAGTTTAGAGCAGCAACCAGAACAGCTTCCCAGTTGTCCATGGGGGAAGGGGCTGCCTTGCTTGCCTAGCACATACTCCTGGCAGGCTTGACTCCAGCACAGGTGGTTGAGGAGTGAGTTCAACCAGGCAAGTGCTTGGACCAGACATCTGCCATGGTGTCCTCTTCCCCCAAGATTTCTGCTCTAACAGTGAGCTCCCCCCAGAGCAAAACGGGGACACACTGTCAAGTGTCAGCTGGACATCAACACTAGGACATCCCAGGGCACTTGCTTTCATAAACTCACCAGGTTCAAACACTCTCTAGTCTCCTCACCCCACCCCTACAATAATTCTGTTCCTTTTCTGGTCACCAATACCAAAAGCCACCACTTCATTCTGACTTACACTTTGTTCTCATCTCTCACATCCAATTGTGTTCACTGTGCTTACAGAGCACCTCCCAAATTGTCCATCCTGTCCGTTTTCACACTGTTTAAGCTGTTAGGATCGGTACCCTCTGCTGCCTGGCCCACCACAGCCCTTTCTAAACTGGTCTCCCTCCCACCAGTTTCCAACTTCTTCACATGACCACAGAGCAGTGTCCCCAAACAGTATATGTGTCACCCTATTCTTTAAAGACCACTGGCAGTCTGGTATTCAAGGTCCCTTTAGACTTGACTCCAGTCTCTATGGTCCTGTGGTCCCACCGCATCCTTCTACCTCTGCCTCATATTTCAACC